TCACTTGGTAGCCCAGGCTGGCCTCAAACTCACAGAGATCTGCCTGGCTCTGCCTCCCGAGTGCTGGGATTAAAGGCGTGCGCCACCACCGCCTGGCCAAAAATGGTTTTTTAGTAGATGAGAAGAAATGAAGGGTACTGTGGTGGTTTGAAAGAAAATGACCCCCAGATGGAGTGGCACTATTAGGAGGTGTGGCCTTGTTTGGAGGAAGTCAGGGCTTTGAGGTCTCCTGTGCTTAAGCTAAGCCCAGTTCACTTCCTGTTGCCTACAGATCAAGATGTAGAACTCTCAGCTCCTTCTCCAGCACCGTATCTGCCTGCACACAGCCAGGGTGATAATAGACTAAACCTCTAGAAGTGTAAACCAACCCCAATGAAATGTTTTCCTTTATAAGAATTGCTATAAGATTGTAAAACATCGGCAGCGAACTTCTGCCCTCCAGGGTTCTCCCATTGTGCTGTAAGCCTGTATTTAAGACCTCCTCCCTCCTTCAATAAACGGCATTCGGCAAAAAAAAAAATTCAACCAACGGCCACCACCACCACCACAAGAAAGACAATGCGGTTAAGGGTGTGGAAGAAGTTGAACCCTCACATACTGTGAGTAGGAACACAAAATGGTGAGACCACTGTAGAAAAGAGCATGGAAGTCCCTCAAAGACAGAAACAGGAACCACTGTGCGATCCAGCAATCCTGCTGGGTACTCATCACAAGAGCTGAAATCAGCATCTCAAGGAGGAGGTACCATGCCTGCGTTCACTGCAGCACTATTTACAACAGCCAAGCTTAGAAACAACTTGAATGTCCTGGAAGAGATGAAGGAACTGTCTGTACAGAGAATGGAATACTGCTCAGAAAAGAAAAAAAAGACAAATAGTGTAAGACTCCGCTGACACAAGCTACTTACAGTCATCAAGTTTGGTAAGAAAATGGTGGTTGCTGGGGGTGGGGTGGGGTGGGTGGGGTGAGAACTGGGAGGTGGTTAATAGGGATACAGCTGCAATTTCATACAGTTACCAAGACTGCACAATACCATGAAGATAATTCTGCTGAAGTGTATACTTAGAAATGGTTACAGTATGCTGGCCTTGGGGCCGTGTGAGAAGATGAGGCAGGAGAATTGCAAGGTTGAGACCAGCCAACGCTACACAGCATGACCTGGTTTCAAACATATAACCAACAAATAAATAGCTAAGATAGTAAATCTTAAAAAAAAAAAAAAAAAAAAAGAGTTGCTATGGTCATGGTGTCTCTTCACAGCAACAGAAACCCTAAGACAGACACAGATTGGAAAACACAACTTGTACATCAACATTTCACATTGATGAATGGATGGTTGGTTCGTCAAAGGAAATGTTGACAACCTGTTACCCATTTCAATGTTATGGAGGTCAACTCCTCCCTCGCACCTTTCACAGGATCTAGCAGGGTAGAGGGGATTGGAGAAGGTTAACTGCAAAAAGGAAAAAAAAGTCAAGATTAAATGGCTGTTTGTTTGAAAAACAAGAAACACAAGGATAAAATATGAAAGTAGAAGAAAATACAGGTAACTATTTAAAGAGACCTTAGTAAGAAAATATTCTTGGGTCTGGAGGAATGGCTCAGCAGTTAAAATCAACCCCAGAACCTGAGTTTGATTCCCAGCATTCACACAGTGGCTCACAACCCTCAGGAACTCCCAGTTCCAGGGGATCTGATGCCCTCTTCTGACTTCTGCAGGCACTGCTTTTACAAGTAGTGGACATACAAACACACAGGTGAACACAAATATAAAATGAAATCTTTTTTTTTTTTTTTTTTGAGGGTTGGTGGTTTTGAGACAGGGTTTCTCTGTGTAGATCAGGCTGGCCTTGAACTCACAAAGATCTGCCTGCCTCTGCCTCCCAGGATCTGGGATTAAAGGACCTGGGTATGGTAGTGCACCTTTAGTCTCAGAACTTGGGAGGCAGAGGCAGGTGGATCTCTAAGTTTAAAGCCTGCCTGGTCTGCAGAGCAAGTTTCAGGACAGGCAGGACTACACAGAGAAACCCCATCTACAAACAAACAAACAAACAAACAAAATTTTAGTGGCTCAGCAGTTAAAGGCACTGATTGCTCTTCCAGAGGTCCTGAGTTCAATTCCCAGCACCCACGTGGTGGCTCACAACCATCTGTAATGGTATCTGATGATCTTTTCTGGTATGCAGGCATATGTGCAAGTAGAGTACTCATATACATAAAATACATAAATAAATCTTTTTTTAAAAATTAAATTTACAAAATACCTTTTTAATTAAAAAAATGAAGAATGCCTGGGATTTTGGGTATTGTCTACTTTTGAGACTGTGTCTGTGAAGCCTGGGCCATTTGGAACTTGCTATTCAGACCACCCAGCATGGAACTTGCCACAGTCCTCCGGCCTCTGACTCTTGAATACTGGGATGGATTACAGGCATGGGAAAACGTGGAGTTCGGACTCCAAAAGACCAGCTTCTGTGGGGTGCAGAGCCCTAGGGCCATCTGACTTTGACCAGGATTTAACAGTGTGAGTTTCTCCCAGCAAGCCATGAAACTTGTCTTGACTTCCTCTCCCTAACTCTGGCCTGTAGTCTACCCTACACACTCTCGGGGCCAGAGACAACTTCCAGGAGTGGGTTCTCTCCTCCTGCACGGGTTCCTGGGATCTAGCTCGGGTTGTCAGGCTTGAGAGATTTTAGCCTCTGAGCTGCAAATTAGGACATTTTCTGATGTAACTGCTTTGGTGACTCTTCCCCTGAGTGTTTTCATTGGCTCCTTGGCTGTCTCCTTTACATTTCCATCATGCAGCTTTCCCCAAAAGTCCCTTTAACTGCCAAGCATTGAACATCCTGGAGTAGTTAATAAACATTTGCTCATTGTTTTAATAAAACTAATGAGGTGATTTATAAGGCAGACTACATCATACAGGGACACATGCTAATAATTTTTAAATGCTGTAATGAAAATAAATACTTTGCTAATTTTAAAAAGAAAAGATTTACTAAATGAGCTATTTAACTATTTTAAACATTAGAGTTTCTAGGAAATACCAAGTATTTAATAAACAAGTGTATTACATTAAAATGTTTGTACAACAGGCTGGCTTTATTTGTCTTGTTCAAAGCTGCTTTCAGTTTCTTAATATCTTTACAATAAAAGCAAAACTTCTGATACTAAAACCTCAGCCAGTGACTCTCCAAATCTTCCTTTTTCATTGTTTTTTTGTTTATGTATGTGTGTGGTATGTGCATACGTATAATCTGTATTGTATTCCCATGTGTGGTTAAGATGCTATATTTTATGTTGTACCTATCTTACCACAATTAAAGAGAGGAAAAACGTGGTTAAGGCTGTTGCCTAGCATGCATGCGGCCCTGGCTGCGAAGCGCAGCACATGATAACAGAAAATCAAAATAAACAAAGAAGCTGGTTTACTTTATAAAAAAAAAATGTGGACAGGCACAGTAGCACACGCTTATAACCTAGCACACAGGAGGCTGAGGCAGAAGTGCTGAGTCCCAGGTCAGCCTGGGCTACATAATGAAACTATGAAAAGAAAGAGAGAAAAAGGGGAGACCACCACCAACGGAGGGCCCACCGTGAAAGAAACTAAAAGTTCAAGCCCAGAGTGACTCCTGCCACAGTCTCCCCAGGTCTTCCTGGACTAGCCGTGTGCCCCGTGAGCACCTGGGGTCCACATCTTCACAACTCACAGACTTTGGCCATTCCGTCTTCTCTTTGGGTCGTACTTGCTGTCCCCGTCTCATCTCTTCCCAGTTTGGCTGTAGGTGTCTTATCAGTACCCACTACTTCAATCTGCTGCTGAGTGACAGGCCTCAGCGGCAAAAGTCAAAGTTCAAAGGAATGAGGGACCACAGTAATAGCGTTTAATGTCAGAAATGTTTATTTTCTAAAAGATCACACAAAAGTTGGTGAAGGGAGAAGGTCAACTGTCTTACATGAAATCCGGGCTAAGGGCAGAGCTGCCGAAAGAAATGGTGGCTGGAGCGAACCGCAGGGACACTGGGAGTGGAGATGGCGGCCCAGGTCTGCACAGCGACACACACCCACGCAACCCACAGGGCTGCTGCCCTGCTCACTCCGTCTCTGGGAGGAGGAGCAGGAGCTCACTCTTTAGACATGTTCTTGATGGTCTTGTGCTCCTTAATGGCTCTCTCCCAGTCACTGCCATTGAATTCCTCAGTGACCACACTCCGGACAGTGCCTTCATCAAGGCAGTGGGGGGCGATTCCTAGGGGCAAGTGAACAGAGAGGGTTCCCAGGGTGGGTAACACCAGAGAATGAGACAGGCCTCACCTGCGAGCACCTTTATCCCACATGTGAGCTATCTGAGGGGTGGGTTCTCTTGCCACCTCCACTTAGGAGGCTGTGTGGCCAGCTCATGTACTAAGAACGTTCTAGCTCAGCCTATGCCTTCAGCATTCTGGCTTACGGTCCTTACCTGCCACATGAAGGTCAGATACCCTGAATGAAGGTCAGCCAATGCTGGGCAGCATTCAAAGCCTGAGGCCTGGGACACAGCTCAGTGGTAGAACACTTGCCTAGCGAATATATAAGGCCCTATGGTCAATTCCCAGTACAGGGAGTGGGGGTGGGGCTGAATGTGGAAAGGATTGGAAAGGTTCAGGCCTGGCCCAATTCTCAGGCCTTTCCTGGGTTTAGATAGATGCAGAATTAAATACTTCTCAATTTACACAGGACTTTAAAACTATTAAAACCCTTTTCTGAGCAGGCATAGTGGTACATGCTTTAATCTTATTAATCAGGTAGCAGAAGCAAGAGGCCTGTCAGGAGGCTAGCCTGGACTACACTCAGGAAAACAGCATCTCAAAACCAAACCCAACAAAAAACCCTTTCCTGTTTCAAGGTAACCAGGACCTGTCAGACCAGAGAGCAGCAGAAGCAGCAGCTGCTGAAGACTCGGGGTAGAGAGACTGGCATGCTGTCCTGCCTTCTCCTCTACGGGCCAGGAGACAGGCACAGGCACAGCACAGCTGCATCCGCAGCTCCAGCAGCTACTACCCAGGGACATGTCAGCCTCATTTCACTCTGTCTAAGGCTGGTTGTATCCAGCCCACCCTCAGATCAAGCAGGGCCTGAAAAGGGCTCCGGAGGCCCCTCTTGCTTCTTTTTTGAAGTAGATATTTAGTTTCTGTGTACAGTGCATTATGTTTGTGGACCGTGTGTGTGTGTGTGTGTGTGTGTGTGTGTGTGTGTGTGTGTGTGTGTGTGTA